TTCACATAGAATTGGATTAATTTATCGGGATTTATAGGCCCATCATGTGACAGTTTGATGCTCATTGGACTTATAGCTCATGAATTATTGATGAGTTCTTGAAAAGAACTTGAAACAAAAACACACAAGCATCAAACCATGCTTTTGCATTATCATTTTATCCCTGTTATTGCACTCTAAAAATTTCAAGTGATTGTATTGTTTAATGATTCATAGTGCACAGATTAATTGCTCACAACTTATATTTACATTTGGAATCTTTATTTTTATTTTAATTATTATTATTTTTTTGCATCTGGTTCTAAAGTCTCAATTACTATAGTCCCAAATCCAAGGTTTAGATGTGTGTTTAGCAATGGCTTTCACCTGCGAAATATAGAAATCCGAGTMTAAATAATTAAGGAAAGATGACTACAAGAAAAAGSTTATCATGCCCTTYATTTCATYTGCTCTCTTTATTTATTTACAATTTTGTTTCTATTTTTGTGATTGCATTTGTGAACTTTCCATTGAGAGTCATTTCCTTGTGTTGCTCAGTGCGACTGAACTAGKCTTGAAATTCTAACGTCTCGTCTTTAGCTTGTACTGCAATAAGTTCTGGTTGAACTATAGAACAATCAGTTACATCAGTACGTTCGAGGGTAATGGAACGACGTGATAAAGATATCTCACTGAATACTGTACCCATTCGCTCTCTTGGACAGTTGAAAACACGGCGAAAGCCATCGCGAAATGACTTGATAAAGAGAAAATATATAAAAGGGTTGATTGCAGAGTTAAACGTTACAGCTAATGAAGTAATTGCATACATCAAATCATTCCTGACGAGATTAAAAAATTCAAAGAACTCATTCACACCAAAAAGAAGAATTGGGATTACACAAAAGATATAGAATATAACTGTCACTAAAATGGCTACTTTTAAACCTTTCTTTCTCGTTTTATGCCTTGCTCTTTGTGTTTCATTCTCAAGCATTTCGTCTGTTGTTCTTAAAGCAAAAAATGCACGAATATAGAGTCCAGTCATAGCAATGGAAGGAATAATAGACAGCACAATAACAAACACTCCAAAATAAGCTTTGCTATTAAACCAAGGATAGATTTTGTACATGCAAACACCATATTTGCTGTTGTATTGAACAGTGATGATGTCAACGATATAAAAACCAGATCCTGTAAGCCACGAGATAAGCAAAATCCATTTAAGCCTTGCTTTTGTGCCTCCGCCAAGTGTTGAGAGAGGGTGGACAATAGCTTTATATCTTTCGAACGCCATTGCCGTCAGCAACAGAGGCGAAACAGAAATGCAAAAAACGTAAGACCACTCAAATTTGCAAAGTACTTCAGCTWAAGTGTTACTCTGATTGTATGCCCGTTCGAGAACTGGTGGACCAAGGATGCCATTGCTATCGCTTGTAATGACAAAACATATTCCAAAGAAACCAGTCATGGCGTCAAGTATGGCAAGGTTTAGTATGATGTAATTCATGGACGTCTTCATGGATTTAAGTCTAACGATGATGTGACAAACCAAAGCATTTCCAATGATACAAATTGCTCCAATGATCATTGCAGAAATTTGAAGAAAAAGTACTGTAGTGTCGTCCATATTTGCAGCTAAATCTACACAACCCTATCAAGTATATTCTTAAATCCTTAATTGGAGAGCACGCGTTTGAGACAAATTCAATAAAATCGGTCATCTGTATACTATTAGTGTTTGAAACTGAAATTGATMTTCATTAAGTGATTGATGATGAATATTTTAGCTTCCTGGCATACAAGATAAGGAAGTACGKAARGTGTTGGCTGATCTTTTCAAGACAYTTAAGTAGWGGCATAAGCTTATCCCGAGAACAACAAAGGAAACGAAAAAGAAGTCAAGCGTGCGCCATAAAACATCAAAATCAGCGTAGGACAAGGAACAAGATGTGAATTAATTAAAGATAATACAACAAAGAAAGAAGTATACCTTCATAATCTCTTCTTAATACCTTCTAATCCCCACATATATTGTTTTTCAGCCGTTTGGCTTTTAGTGAAGGGAAAATCAGCACTATAAATGTTATCRATCATTCAATAATTAAAGAAAAATGGTTCCTTTGGAGATGCCGGACATTCGAGGCACTTCTTAATATTGTTTTTTGTTGAGAAAATGCATTCATCTTTTAGTTTTCTCTATTTTTTCTTTTGGTTCAGTATCTTTCAGCTGTCCGTATTATGTAATTCTACTTTCTAAAAGGTGACAATTTTGTTTTTCAGAGCTTATGTAAATTTACTTTAAAACCAAGCAACTCAGATACCTATTGTAAAGAATTTAATTTAACCTCTTATCTCAGTAAGTCGCCAATATTCGAAAGTGACCAACAATTTAACTGGAAATACACTCAAACAGTTGTCAAACAGGTATATTAAAAATTAATGAAGTTCTTCCAAGATGGCCGCGCTGTGATGACTT